TATATATATATATATATATATATATATTGCCCAGCTAAGTGTCTGACACACATAGATCTTGTAATGATTGGGAATCGGCCTTGCTCTGAATGCTGTGGTCACTCACCCTCAGCAGCTGGATGTGGGCTTTCACAGGGCTGTTGTGTCCTGACAGAGTCCTCATTGTAGAATCCTTGAGAGGATGACTCCTCAAGATGGTCTAGTTTGTGTCCACGTTTCCCACCCGATCTGAGCAGGGGGAGGAGCCCCAGAATGGGCAGTGGTGAAACAGTGCTTCCCTTCTCACCAGAGCAGACTAGAAATGATAGAGGGAAATCCTTGAGGCTGTAAGTGCTCACCCATAGGATTGGGTTCTGACCTGGGAAGGGAAGAGATGGGACTGTGGGTGGAACCAGGCAGGTACCTTGCTTTGTCACAGATCTGTTGGCTGAACCTCTCTTTATCTCTGTCTTCCAGCAGCACAGGGGCCTACTGTCTGCTCTAGGGGGCAGATTTAGACACTTCAGCCGCCCAGGGCAAGGGAACTGGTTGTGAAGGTGTCAAGTTAGGAGGGTGGGGAGTAGATTAAGAGTTGCCAACTCATACGCCTGAGGGTGGGCCGGCAGGGTGAGGAGCAAAGGGCGGTGCTACCAGATCAAATATAACTGAATTGCACTGTGACGCCCTATGCTCATGCCCTGCCCATGGGGCAGGCCTAGAATCCCCACCTCTGCTGCTTACTTTCACTGAAACCCAAGTTGGAATTTTTTTTAAACCTGAAATTGCCAACTTTTAAATATTGGTGACGTTCAAATTTTGTTGGAAAGCATAGTACATTCCAACGTTGTCTGATCTCTCAACTCCAAAAGCCCATGTTGGCATTCAGGTTTTTTCTCTCTTCACCTTTATAATCTGTCCAGATTCTTTAGTTGTAAACTAACTGTTTCAAACACAAGTTAGGAGGGGTTACAGTCCCAGGCTTCTTAACTGTTTGGAGAGCTGCTCCAGGAACCCCATTGTCTTCAGGGGACCAGAAGGAGGGGTGGGAAAGAGAGGAAAGGAGGGAAGGAGGAGGCAGACCAGAAAGATACTAAGGCTGTTGGGCATCCTCTGCATGCGAGTCTCTGTTCCTGATACTCAGGACAGGATAGGACAGAGCCAGTATGTTCCTTAGAGCCCAGTGAGGTTTTGGTTTCAGAAGATGCTGATGATCACTGGCATAATGGCAGTGGCCAGTACCACTGCTTCCTCCCCAAATCATGGTTCCTTCGAAGCCTTACCTACTTGACACATTGATGCCCTTCAAGGTGCTCATAGGATGTTGGGGTTACATGAGAAAACTACACAGGGGGTCCCCAAAGCATCACTCCCTGAAGGGAAGCTTGCATGTAGCCCAGTGAGTAGTGGTTTGAATACCAAGGGCCACCATTCCTGTGTTTCAAGTGCTTGGAGAGGCTGGGAACGTGACCCTTCTTTACTGTCCCAGAGTGGAATGTTCCATGATCTGGATTTAATAACCCAGGAAATGACACATCCTTAATTGAAAGAACTGCTATGTACTGGGAGAAGTATGTGCCTGGAAAGTATTTTTAGTGTGGCTGCATTAGATATTTTTCCTTTGTTAATGTCTTCTTTCTTCTTTCCTCTTGCTTCCTGATTGCCCCCTGCCCCCCACTGCTCCTGTCACAGTCTCTTTGGCTGTAGCTTCCTGAGGGTCTTTATCAAATCTCCTTGAGCAAAAGGGGCCTATTATCTAGTTCAGCCTAACCTCTTTGAGAATGAGCGTGAGAAGGAGCGGGAATCCCTGATGCTAGCTAGAGGCCAAGGAGCTGCTGAGCCCACCATGTTTCTTGTACAGGGACCTCTGCCTGTTGGTTTGTTTCTAGAATGTTCTCAGAAAGGAGAGAGAGAGACGATCCTGCCAACCCATCAGCCACTCAGTAACCCTTCATGCTCAGCACAGGGCCCAGAGCTGGCTCACCCCCACTGTTTAGTCTGAATTTGCTGAGGTCCAGAACTGGTTCACTACATGCTTTGCATCTGAGGTCATCACCCGTTCCCTGGGGCTCACCCTGGTGTTCTTTTTTTTTTTTTTTTTGTCCCAAGCTCTTCATAGCATTCTGCTGTGTGTGTGGCTGTCTGTCTTGTAGGTCTTGGTACAGCTGCATCCCAGGCAGGCCAGGATTTCAGCAGCTGCATTGCCACATTGCTACCTGGGAAGGCAGGTGGGGGTCTCCTCAGCAGACCTTCTGGCACATAGCAGTAGGAGGGAGAAGGAAGAAGAGGCAGGCAGAGGGAGGCCCTCTGCAGCCCTTTGCCTCTAGGCAACTTCAGCTCAGCAGTTCTCTTTTGAGTACCTACTGTGTGCCATCCCAGTGACAGGAATGTTGCTAGCCCCTCTTCTCTCAGCTCTTCAATTGTGTGTAGAGGGGACCTGTTAACATTTGGTAATGCAGAGACTGATTTCATAATTTATGTGATGTCTGTCACTTTCTACAGCTTGTAGATTGGAGTCTTACAATCTGGCTCTGCTCCACCAGCTGAGTGACCTTAGGCAAACCCTGTAAATCTTCTGAAACCTTGTCTCCTAGCTTTAAGGTGGGCCCTTAACCACTTGCCTCCCTACCAGCTTGTCAAAGGAAGGCAGTGCCTTGGGCCAGAAGGTACTGAGTGAATGCTTGTGACTGCTGATTTCACTGCTGTGGGAGAATTCTGCCTCAGCAAACATATGAGCACCTTCCAGAGAAGATTTGCCTTGGCCTACTGTGAACTTCTTTCTTCCCTGAGTCATTGCTTAAGTTCAGCTATGGGTACCATTGGCCAGCATCCTCCTGGGGTGATGGTTTCTTCATGGCATAAGTGGCTGAGCTCCTGTAACCAGCATAAAAATCCCATTGTACTAGGTCTTCCGAATTGTGTTCAGGGTATTCGTCTCCAGACACCCAGGAGGCAGACTTCTAAGCCAGTGCAGGGGAGATAAAGGGTTCATTGCTGTCAATTCAAAAAGTAGCAGGGGATTATGTTAGCTCTGCCTCGATGGGAGCAGGATCTTACATGAAGGCTGCTTGTGTCTGTAGCTGATATGCCTGCGCCCAGTGTCTGGGCCTGAATGTTCTTCCCTTTTCTCCTGATGTCCATCTATTCCTTGCTTCTTATCATAAGAGACTAAAATTCAGGGCACATTCAGACCGGGCATCCCCTTCAGAACCAAATATGGAAACTTTCCCAGAATTCCTTTTAAAATTATTTTTTATTTTAATTAATTATCAAGTAATAGTCTGGGGCATGTGAAACCCAAGCTCTTATTTTCTAGGATATCATGAAACATGAAGGATTTTTCTGTTTCAGCTTACTCCTCTGTGCGTGTATTTGTGTGTGTGTGTGTGTGTGTGTGTGTGTGTGTGTGTGTGTTAAGACAGATGTCTCATTCCTTGGATGACCTGGAACTTACTAGGTAGACCATGCTGGCCTTGAACTCATAGAGACCTGCCTCTCCTTTGTCTCTTGAGTGCTGGATTAAAGGCATGCGGCACCATGACCATCTTTCATCTTACTGTCTTTTTAAATTTCTTTTGAGATTTATTTTTATTCTATGGATGTTTTATCTATGTGTTTGTGCACCTTGTGTGTACAGTGCCTTGGGAGTCCTGAAGAGGGCGCTGGATCACTTGGAACAGTTATTAGTGGTCATGTGGGGGCTGGGAATTGAACTCTGGTCCTCTGGAAGAGTAGTCAGTGCTCTAAACTGATGAGCCATTCCTCTGACCCCTCAGTTTGTTTTCCTTATCCCAAATTTAAGACGAGCCAAGAACTCTGCATCACTTAAAGTTAGTACTTCTGTTTGAGACAAGGGATTCTTAAACGAATTAAGCCTGCTCTTCTGAGATAGCTGCAGATGTGTATGAAGCTGTAGGAAATAGTGCAAAGAGGTCTCTTATTCCTTGTCTAGTTTCCCTTGATGCTGACTCTTGAGGTGTTGTTCTTGAGACAAGATCTTATTCTGAAGCCCAGGCTGACCTGGAACCTACAGTCATCCTCTCAGCTTCCTGAGTTTGGGATGACAGATGTGACCCACAGTGCGGGACTGGGGATGCCATCTTGAATTGTCAAGTAGAAGATGGACAGGAACACAGTGTAAAGAACATTTGAGTCAGTGGGGCATGGTGGCACCTCCCTTTAATCTCAGCACTTGGGAGGCAGAGGCAGTGGATCTGTGTAAGTCGGAGGCCAGCCTGATCTACATAGCTAGTTCCAGGATAGCCAGCTCTACCTGTCTCAACAAAAGCATTTGAGTCTGCACCAGGATTCCCATCCTGTTGCTGCACCCACCCCAGCCACATCCAGCACGCCCACGCCCCTCCCTGCACAGCCTCCAGCCCACCAATCTCTCACTGTTCCAGCTTTGTTAGTTCAAGAATGTTTTATTAACAGAACCGTAAAGTATGTAACCTTCTGGGGTTTGCTCAGCACAATTTCTTGGAAAGTCTTCAGGTTTTCTTTATATATCAATAGGATGTTTCTTTCTTTCTCCCC